GGGGCGGATAGAAGTGACAAGAAGACGAGGAAGAAGACGTAAGAAAATGCTGGATGACCTTGGGGACAGAAGAGGATACTGTCATTTGAAGAAGAAAGCTCTAGATCGCATTAAGTGGAGGAATTGTTTTGGAAGAGACTGTGGACCTGGTGTCTTGACAGATTACTGATGATGATGATGATGATGATATCTTGTATTTAAATCAACATCTAGCAGTTAGAATATAAATGTACATAGAAAATAGTCATTTAAGCTTGTGTATGTAAATATGAATATATGCTTTACAGTTCAACAATGAAAATGTGTAAATAACAACACCTAAAGATGACCCTATAAGGGTCGAAACATGTAGTGGAACATAAGTTAATAAATAATAGTTTCGTCGACGGTGGAACTTGTATTATTAGCAAAGGGAACAGTGGTCTTTACTGGAAAGAAATCACAGCATTTCTCATTTCTGTTTCACAGACCAGAATATTTCATTCCCCGTGACGGTGCTTACGGCTTTCGAAACGCAAACGGCACTTGGACCGGGATAGTGGGTATGGTTGCCACAGACGAAGTCGAAATTGGGATCGGCTTATTCTCATTTACAGAGGGCCGAATGGACGTCATTGACTATTTACCTCCAATTTTAAATCCGAAGTAAGTACTGCCAACTTCTGCACTACTACTGCCATGATTGGTCTCCCTTCAACCTAGGCGACATGTGACCAAGATTCAGGGAGCACGCGGTAACGAAGTTGGTTGAAGCACAATGCTACAAGCCGGAAGGTCGGGGGTTCCAATTCCAGTTATATCATTGGATATTTTCAATTTACCTAATCCTTCCAGCCACATTATGGCCCTGGGGTCGACTCAGCCTCTAACAGAAATGAGTACCAGGAATCTTCCTGGGGTTAAAGGACGGCCGGCGCACTTCACAGCCATCCGAGAGTCAATTTTCTGGAAAATGTGGGAGCCTCGGCGTCTCTTAATATTATGGGCCTCCATGGCCTGTTACAGGGATAGATTTACCTTTTATGATATTGACCCTAGAGGTGGATATGGACAGGAGGATGGATCTTCTTGCCACACACTTTCTTACTGTTCAGCTTTAGCCGGGCGTTGAACAGAGATTTTCAGCTCTGCAGAGTTACAGCCGATATATATTATGAGGGCCTCAGTTCAGAAGGTTATTGCACTAGCCTTACGGGCAGGGCTCTTTGAAGGGTCTTGCAAATTCGCGGGTGAACAACGAACCCAATCACTGCTGGGGCCTTTGCTCACCCGCAATGTGAGATCTTGATATTTGTAGAAGTTGCACCGTCACTCCCAGTTCAATGCAGAATCCTAAACGTGCCACTTCTGTTTTCCACCGTACCGACTGAATCTGCTCTTCCTTCATAGATAAATAATATAATACATAGAACTCCCTAAGATTGTCATGTGTGGGAAAAAAAAGTTGTACCCGTCCTTAACTAGTTAAGCGCTATGCCATGAAGACGTATGGGGGAGTGGATGTATAGACCCATATTTTCTTGAACTCGATACTTGGAGGTAGTTGGTCAGCTTCACGCCCCGGCCGCTTTACTCCCGAGGAAACGGCCCCCGGTACCCACTGGATAAGATGCTGGATGGGCTCCACATTAGGTTTGGAAGACTTGGAAAAGAGAAAATTCTTGATCCTACCTGCACTCGAACTTCGACTCCTCGGTCGTCCAGCCCGTAGCCAGTCGCCACATGTGAGAAAACTATTCCCTAATATTTATTGGCTATACAGTTCATATAAAATGTCAAAAGTTGTCACAAGCTGTTAGATATAACAATTTTTGTAAAGACCGAAATTTGTGATACTTGGCATTTCTAGAGTTAAACAATTTCGCAAACATTTCGTCGAAGTTATTGTTCGAAGGGACGGCATAATAACAACATACATCCCTAAGTACAGTTCTCGACGTGTTTATTTAATGTACATATTGACAGTAAAACAAAATTGAGTAGTCAGTTCTACACAAAACGTAAATTCCAGATTAACTGCATACATCAGACAGCCATCCGATGAGTACACAATGTGGAGTCACATCCTGTCTCCTTTTGGGGTTCCATTGTGGAGAGCTCTGGTCACTGTCATGCTGACCCTCATGGTAGCCCTGACGGCAACGTGGTACTTCGGGGCAGAGCGAGACAAGACAGATTACAGCTTTAAGACTTCATTTTTCCTCGTGCTGGGGGCTTTCTCTCAGCAAAGTGAGTATTTTCGTTGCATCATATTTAAAGATTTTGTCAGTAGATAGATTATGTAGGGTCGAATGATATGATAGACGAATGATGAAATGGTAAGGATTTGGAAGGAAGCCTACAGCCTCTGTGGTCTAGAGGTCAGAGTTCCTGGCTACACATCCAGAGGTCCCTCGGTCGATTCCCGGCGCTACCACATTTTCTGAGAAGTAGTGGGTATGGAACGGGGTCCACTCAGCCTCGTGAGGATAACTGAGGAGCTACTTGAATGGAAAAGTAGCGGCTCCGGTCTAGATAACCGAGATTAACGGCCAAGGGACTTCGTTGCGCTGACCACGCGACACCATCTATCCGCTAAAGTTGGTACTAACTTCGCCGACAAGCGGCGGTCGTTCGGTCGATACGGTTCGCTTGCGGACTAAAACCGCGGAGTTTGTTTATGTTTGTTGTCGTGTAGAAAGAAGGAGTTGTCTCCTAATTGAGGCACTATCCCTACATTTGCTTGGAGACACCGAGGAAAACCATGAACCCTTCAGTCAGAATTACCAGTGTTCCGGCGGTCAATTGGAGGAGACTTCTCGATGACCGTTGAAAAGAAACAAATACATGAACGATGATGATACATATTTTGTTACAGGTGGAATGTAATAAGATGTATGAGTAATTTGGAAGCCCTGCCCTAAACTTGTCAAATTATTCGATAAGGATATATTTTTAATATTTAGTTCGTGTTTATTGAACTATGATTTCGAGCCGTGCTGAAGGTCAGCTGGCTCTTGTGCGTGACATCATGACGTCTGCCATTCCTGTATTCCATTTTCACCCCCATATGTTGACGTATTATCCTTGTGATTGCCTATGTATCACGTGACCTTCCTTCCTTCTTCCGATGTCTCGGAAGGCTCGGAAGGAAACATGACCTGCTGCGCAGTCTGTGAGGTTAGTCGAGAGGGTCGAGAGCGTGGAGAGGTTCGCGAGTGGACGTTTACCAGCCAGCGGGGGAACGCAACTTAATTGCGTTTTCGACTTGGTACCTCTAAATTATGTTCGGTAATCTTCCGTGGCTGTCTGGTAAGGTAAGGCTGCCCGCGATAGCAAGCCGTTGGCTTTAGAACGGTTGCGATGTGCGCGTTCATTTATTTTCTCCTAGTATTATCATTAATATTATTTGTTTTTCTGGTGAAACGACCAAGACGATTCAAAGGGTTCGCCGAGCCATGGAGGAATGGCGAAGCAAAGGACTTTTATTCATATATATCTAGATATATTGGCTTCCTGTGAGTATTATTATTATTATTATTATTATCATCATCATCATCATCATCTCTTGTCACAGGTTTATTTCCTGGTATTCCTTTTCTTGAACCAGTGATGCACCTCACCACTCAGGCTTCAAGCTTCGCACTGTATCACTTTCCGTAGTATGTGTGATGTTCCCAGGATAGCTGTTTTTTGCAGTGATCTATGGAGTTCTTACCAGGAATTAGTTCCAAATATTTTCTCAACCCTCTCGTGACTGTACCCGTGGCTCCAATAATTACTGGTATCACAAAACATTTCGTGTTCCACATTCGCTGAATTTCGATGCTTAAATTTTTATATTTTAATTTCTTCTCTGCTTCTTTTTGTACTACATTCCTGTCCGATGGTACTGATACATCTATAAGTATGCAAGTTTTCTTTTGCTTGTTTTTAATTATTATGTCTGGCCTGTTTGCCAGAACCTCTCTGTCTGT